TTACAATTTTATTTATTTATTCATCCTAAAATATATAACTCAAATTTAAAATTTAAAGCATTTGATTTGAGTGTTTATGCAAGAAAACTTAAACTTCCAGAAGGTATTAAAACTGTCACAATTTCATAATAGTAATACTGTTGTGAAAAATGATTTGTGCTAAAAAAAAAAAAAAAAAAATTCTTACATCTGAATTGCTAATGCATTTAAACAACTAGGTAACTATGTAATAGCCTTTAACATAAAATGAGCTTTTTTATTTTAAACAATGAGTCTCACATGATTTTAATCAGATGGAAATGGCATAATATTTATGCATAAAGTATTTATATATTCTGACATGTGTATAAACAAAACTAGGGTATTTGGAATAAATATTTTTTAAATGGATCTTTAAAAATATATTGAACTTATTTAATTTAAAAAGTTATTTAATAATAAACTTAATGGTCCTGTTGTAAATAATAAAATTTGATAAAAATAACTTTAAAAAATAAAAACAAATTCTGAAATAAAATAAAATTTTTAATAAATCTTATTTAAAAAAAAAAAGTCTCTTTAAAGAACTTTATTCAAGAGTACTAAAGTTAATACACTCATAAAGATAAAAAATTATCTTGAATAAAAATAATAAATGTTTTTGAAAGTTGTTACAATTAAATAATTTTGAACTTTAAAAATGTTTTCATATTATTGAAACTTTTTTAAAATAAGAAACAGATCACTGCTTATGATTTTTTATATAAAATATTAATAAATACTAAAAATAAATACTAGCTGATCTGACCCATAAAAATATGTGTCTTTGTTAGTCTGATACACACTGACCTTTTATATACTTTTTCCTTATATGTATACCAAGTATCATAGAAATTACTTTAAGATACCCACAAACTGTCCACTTGAATTTGTTGTACTTTAATTTATCTAAGATCAATGCCAAGTTACAATAAGTTTCCTTCAAATGCACAGAGTGACCAATGGGTCAGAGTGACTAATGGGTCAAAAAATACATAAGAATTAACTCTTTAATCTTAGAAAAAAAAAATGTTGCAGACCTGTGTAATTTATTTTGAATAATTGCTTTAAGAGCAAAAAAATTAACATCCACACCTTTAATTATGTTTGTTTTTCTCCTAAACACATACCATTAATAGCTCAGTGGTTTAGTAATCTGTCATCAGTGTCGTTTTAAGGAATTTAAGACCTCCTCTAATAAACTTTGAATATTTTTTAATCTTGCTGTATTTATAATAATATTGCAAAAATTTTGTTATAGTATATATCTATATATAATAGTATACAGTCGACTCTCGATATCTAGAACACTAAGGGGACCGGAAAAAAAGTTCGAGATATCGAGAGTTCGAGATATCAAGAAAAGGGTTGAAAATAAATAAAATTGCCCGACTTTCATTAAAACAAGTTATTTTTCTGACAAAATTCATTAACAACAAAAACTACAACTTTTGGAAAAAATCTGTTATCTGATATTGCTTTAAATTATCTTTTATCCATCTTTTCCATCTTCATTAAATCCTCAAGTTTTAATGCTAGGGATTGTATTTCATTTCCGTATTTTGAGCTGTATAGCGAAGCATTTTGAATCATTTCAAAAGCAATTTCAAATTGAATATTAGATGGGCGTGGCAGGGATTTGACGTCAATAGCTTCGTCAACGCTATCTTCAACTTCATTATCGTCATTTTCAAAATTAGGGTCTAAAATCTGAGCAATGATTTCAACATCAGTAGCAAGTGAACAGGGTGTTACTACATCGCAATCTAAACCAATGTAAGTTTCCGCTGAGAGATCTTATTGGACGGCACGAGGATCTCTATTCTCGCAAATGGTTAAGTTCTTCTGTCAAAAATTTAAAAGGATGATCATCATCAGCTTCTTCAATACTCTTGTTTGTTTTGCTGCTTTTTTAATGCAGTTGATGACAGTCTCCTTCGACACAGCATTCCACGAAGAAACAAGATCTTTCATTGCTTGAAGTATAGAAATTTTTGGCATGGGTTCGTTATTATCGACAGCCTTGATACACAAACGCACAATTTTGTGACGATAATGAGCTTTAAGACTTCGTATTACGTCTTGATCCATGGGCTGAAGGACAGATGTGGTGTTAGGGGGGAAAAATATCAGGTTGATGTTGCTTAGCCCTTCAATGTGTGCGTGGGCAGAACAGTTATCCACCAGGAGTGCTACTTTCCTGTCTTGAATCAAGTTTCATTACCCATTCTGTAAAAAGGTCTCCGGTCATCCAACTTTTTAGCTGATTTTTATATGTGCAAGGAAGTTGTTTAATGTGCTTAAAACACCGTGGGTTTTTAGATTTTCCAATAACAAACATAGATAATTTTTCTCCCGTTGCACTCCCTGCTGCTATGCCTGTTAGTCTGACTTTACTATTTTTTTCCCCAAAACATTTTTCTCGTGATAAATGGTATGTTTTGTTTGGTAGGCACTGATAAAATAGTCCAAACTCATTGGCATTGAAAGTGTTTTCAAGTTTGTAATTCAAAAGCAATATTGGAAGTGTAGTTTCATTCCACGAAGCAGTCATATTATTTGTCACGGCAGTACTTTCGCCTGAGAATATTTTAAAGCTGATGTCGTTCCTAAAAATAGGAACAGAATAACTGAATTTTAATTACACGTTTAAAAAACTAAATAAATTAAATATAAACAGATACATGTTATTTGTTTATATTAAAATTGAACAAGATTTGAAAAAATTTAACTGACCTTTCTTTCCAATTATGAAACCAACAATTAGATGCTTTAAAATCCAACTCTCCTAATGCTTCTGCAAATTTAAGTGCCTTTTCTTTTAGTACGGTACCACCAATTGGTACTTGTTGACTTCTTTTTGCAACGAACCACATGTATATGGCCTTGTTTACATTTTTGAAGTTACCACTATGAAGTTTCTTCCGTTTAAATTTTGTGCCATTTTTTTCCAGTGAGGTTAATAACTTGGTTTTATTTTTAATCCAGGTTGATAATGTGTTCTTTGGGACTCCATACTTTTTGGCAACCTCTTTGTTAGACATCCCTGTCTCTAGGTCTTTTATTGCCTTGCATTTTTCTATTATAGATTTGTTCATGAGTTTTCGTTTAATGAGAGGCATGTTGTTGCGTTTGACAAAAAGAATAAATTAATATATTGAAGGAAAACTTTTCAGAAATTCGATTCTTAAAAAAAATTGAATTTAAAAATCGAATTAAAATTTATTTTTTTTCGAAAATTGGAATTTAAAAAAAATTAAATTTTATTAAAAGATTTTTGAAAAAAAAAATGTTGAAAAGTTCGAGATAACAAGAGAAAATTGCCCAGTGGACCGAAAATATTGTTCGAGATAGCAAAAAGTTCAAGATATTAAGGTTCGAGATATCGAGAGGATTTTAGCCTAAACTAGTACGTTATATCCATGGGACCGCTAAAAAAGTTCGAGATACTCAAAAGTTCGAGATATCAAGTATTCGAGATATCGAGAGTTGACTGTATATCTATAATAATTATAGCAACATTTATAGCAAAAAAATAACAGTATATCAAAAAAGTTTTCTAATTGTTAAAATAAAATTCAAAAGTTTTCTCATTTTTATAGATTTATTATACAAGATTTTTCCATATACTGCCTGGAAACTCAATATATATTTTAAAGACATTTACATTTACAGATGTTTGTATGCAATGCTATACAAATGGCAGAGCTAAGAAGATCTTAGACCATTAAAAACTATACACTATAAAACGCTAAAAGATCGCCCATAAATTATGCAACGCCTAATTTATTTTTAAAAAAGAAGGAGATCTTAAGTTCTTTTAGGTGGTGATTTTCATTAAACTTAATGAGCTAGTTTGATTTTTTGTTAAACTTATGACTCTGCAAGGGAAAATTCTGATCTTTTATGTTGTGTTCATTTAGAAAATATTTGCGTTGCATAATTTATGGACGATCTGTAATAAAAAGTCAAGGCAAAAAATAATGGAGTATACTATTTTGATGATTATCTAAATTCTTTCTTTGTTGCGCACTCAGTTTAGAATGTTTAATGAGGGTGTCATATAATAGCTATAAAACTCTAAATTTCCTTATATCAATATTAAATAATTTTAACTTTTAACTATTTTTAAAAATATTAAATTTAATAAAATGGTTTATGCTAAAATACTAAAACAAAGCAACTTTATAGCTCTATAGATTATATATTCTATAAATAAACATGTTGTATACTCATTTTCTTTGCGCGAACTCAACTTAGTTGTAAAAAAACTTAAAATGTAAAACTAAAATAACATAAGTATCTGAATCATGATGCATACACAACAAATTTCTCCCTGTTTTTTGACTTTTTTTAGAATTATTAGCTTTTTTTAAAATTTTTTTATTTGTTTAAATGTATAATATTGTTACATATGTTTGTATATAATCTCTATAAAACTTCAAAATTATATTGTATATTAAAAAGTCTTAAAAAAATTAAAATAAATAAAGTTGCTGGTGGTAGGACTCGAACCATGGCTTTTTTGTTTAAAAGTTCTGCGTGCTAACCACAAAAATTAAGGAGAGGTTGACGCAATGCAGTTTTCAAGTGAAAGTAAAACTGTAAAACTTGATTTTACTACTACTACTACTACTACTACTACTACTACTACTACTACTACTACTACTACTACTACTACTACTACTACTACTACTACTACTACTACTACTACTACTTCTACTACTACTACTACTACTACTACTACTACTACTACTACTACTACTACTACTACTACTACTACTACTACTACTACTACTACTACTACTACTACTACTACTACTACTACAATGACTACTACTACTACTACTACTACAATGACTACTACTACTACTACTACTACTACTACTATTACTACTACGACTACTACTACTACAACAACTACTATGACTACTACTACTACTACTACTACTACTACTACTACTACTACTACTACTACTACTACTACTACTACTACTACTACTACTACTACTACTACTGTAATTTAAAGACTTCTTTGCAAAGTCTTTAAATTATACGTCACAAGCTACAGACTTTGGCGATTCCTTTGATGCGCGTATAATTCATAAAAGTTTTAGTATTTGACGCCACTGTAGACTTTTGACTAATAAAACTCTGGAAAAAATTTTATTTTTATTTATAAATTTTTTCATTATTTGTTTAGTTCTTTATTTTCTAATTTTAACATTTAAAAAGATATTATAAACGTCAAATATTTTATGCTCGAAATATATTTAATACAGTTTAAACTGTTAGTTACAAATTATTTTAATGACGGGGGTTATAAAGTTTTTTATAACAAATGTAGGTAAAAAAAAAGTTTAACATTAATCATCTTTTTTTTATATTGCAACTGTAAATACTAAAACATTAACTTGAACTAAATTTATTTATTAATTAGAATGACTAAGCAATAAAAAAAAAAAAGCCCCTAAAATCATGCGATATTGTGTTGTTTATTTGATTATTGTTGTTGGTAATATTGTTTATGTTGATTATTTTCATTAATATCTAAATAGTCACAGTTTAAACTGTTAGTTGCTTTGCTCATTGTTGATTTTTTTAATCTAATCTCTAAGTTTAATTCTATGTTAAGAAAGAAAAGTTTTATTTCATCGCGTGCTCTTTTTATAAGAGTAGAACAAAAGAGAAAGATAAGTTTTGCGTAATTAAACTTCGAATGAATAAGAGTTGTATAGAATATATATTTTTTTGCGTCACTCGTTGTATAGAATATATATTTTTTTGCGTCACTCGTTTTTTTAGATGAGAGAAATAAAAGTTTTACTTTTCTTTGAATAAATGAGAATTGGAAGAGAAAATTGTTTGAAAACTTGTATTTGTCAATTTTGTTAGTTTTTTAATTTTCCTTGTTAATAGACAAATGCCAAATACGACACATAAATTGGGAAATACCAAATATAATATGTTTTTTAACGCGTTACAATATTTTGACAATTTAAATTACCATCTATCTTATTATTGTCATTAATTAATGTGTTAATTATTGCGTTATATAATAATAATTTGTATGCATTTTTGTTAAATATTAGTTGTATAAAACGAGCAAAAATATACGTACTTCATGTTTTTAATTTGATGGTTATAAAATATTGAACAGTAAACTTATAATCAAAATTTATATGCCAACTTGTGCTGCTACTAATTGTACTTGTAATGCAAAACCAGGATCTCACATATCCTTTCACGAATTTTCATATCTGATACTACTGTCAATTATATTGTTTAGTGTATTCTTGTACTTTTTTTTCATAACCTTAACAGGTTCTTATTGGTATGAAATTGCCGACACTTTAAAAAATTTGTTATCAAAAATCAAATGCAAATTAAAATGATATTTCTTTTTTATCCATATCCGATTCAGCAAATATATCAATTTAAATTAAATCAACGTAATCAAAATTTTTTATAATAAAAAAAAATTAACATCAAATATCTCTAATTAATACTGTCAGTTAATGAAAGTAATTGTTAATACTTTTTTTGACGTGAAAACAATAAATATCATTGCGTAAAAATGACCAGAGAAGTTAGAAAATAGTTCCCATTGTTTAAATGTAATTAAGTAAAATTCAGAATATATAATACTGCGCTCTCTTGCACAAAAACTGAAAGACTGTATTTATAACGTTCTATATAATGTAAAATACTCGTATGAAAATCATAACATTGGTAAGTAAACCTTTAATATTTGTTTCGATTTAAAAACAAAAGAAATATAAGTTATATAAGATATATAAATCTAAAAATTATTAAGGTATTTGTAAAAAAATAAGCTGCTCCTATAAAATAAAAATAATTTATTATTTTTACTTTTTACAAAATTTTTTTTACAATGTTTGGAAAGATAATACAAATAAATTTGTTTTGCTGTATGTTAAAAAAATATTACATCATACTTTTTGAATTAAAGTAGAAAAAAGCAGCTTTGTTTAATTACACTTTTCATTTGTTAAAAGTCTACCGTGACATCAAATACTAAAACTTTTATGAATTATACGCGCTTTAAAGGAATAGCCAAAGTCTGTAGATTGCAACATATAATTTAAAGACTCAGAGTTTTTGAATAAAATGGAGAAGGTGAGCTTCGGCTAAAACAACAACGTTAGTTTTTCTCGGTATGCATTCATTATTTATTTTTAATCAAAAAAAACTTGGTTCAAACCTTTTTTTTTTTAACATTATCTTTAACATGAACACAACATGTGTTTGGAGTTTGGGATCCCTTTAAAAATAATTTTTTTTTCTTTCAATTTTATCAGCAACAATTAAACAACAATTGTTTCTTTAATGAATTTTTTATAAGAATGAATAAAGTTAATATACCATAAAAGATAAAAATATTTGTTGCAAGAAAATATTAGTTTACTTCATTTACTTAACAAAGCATTTAAAAGTTATTTTTCTTTTATTATGTATTACTTTCTAAGAATAAATGTAATTTCAAAAATGTATGTGAACAAAATATAGAATTGTCTTAAAAGAATTAAATAATTTTTGTTTAAAAGTGTATTTATTTATTGGTGTGTGTTTATATGGTAACTTACAATTTTTAAATTAGTAAAAAAAAAACACACTACAATCAAATATTTGTATTTATTAAACAAGCATTAAAAGTTTGTTGTTACTTAATTTAAAAGGATTCTCTTAATATTATAAAAACATTAGTAGAGATTATTATAAAAGATTTGCAGTTTACTATTCTAAACGTAATTAAATAAATTAAATAACCTTAGCATTGTAGTTTTTTGAGTTTTATTTTAGTTTGATTATTTTTTTGTTGTGTGTGTTTTAGTTTTAGCCAAGTGCTTTTTAAAGTTCTTCCTGTAAAAACTTTGTGAAGTTGATTTAGATTCTCATAAAAAAGTATGTTAAAATGGTATGCAAAATGTCACTCAATATCCATATTCTCAATGCTCATTTTAATAAACTTAACGATATTAGAGCTTACTCAGAGGAGCATGATATTCCCTTACATCAAGATATATTGAAATTTGAATGTCATTATCAAAGTAAATGAAAATATTATGGGTACTACATTTTGGGGCTACTTTGTGAAGGTGATTTACAGTTGTGCAAATCTAGAAAATCTACTCCTCTCTGAAGCTTTTTGAATGATTTTTTACTTTGTCTATTCAAAATGCAATTGTTTTTTTTTACCAAACGAAATTAACAAAAATATAACACTTTTTTTTTTCTCTCAATACGTAGGAATTTTCTTTGCACTGTAATCATATAACTTTTTACTCAATAGAGTCATTTTCCCACCATTTTTAGACATGAATAATTCAAATAAAATACTTTGATTCTAAGGAAAAGAACTTGTGTCTCATATAAACATTTTACAGCTAAAATCATATTGTAGGACTTGCTTAAAAATATCTTCAGTTTATATATCATGTGTAATGATGTATATGCACCAAAATAATGACTATATAGTGTATGAAATATATAAAAGAATAATGATTATACAACAACAAAAAATGCACATAACAAGATAAAAGTATAATAAAACAATAAATAATAAATTTTAAAAAACAAACAAAAAAAACAACCTTGAAAACATTCACTCATATTGTTATTAATAATGTAGTGCCAAGTAAAATGATCCCACCTTCCATATAAAGGATTGCACCATTCACATGTGTTATTTCGAGGTGTGCATGCAAGATTCCCTAAAATTGTTAAAAAAAAGTACAATAACAAACTAAAATATATCATTATTAGACGAGCATAATAAATTTATTATAAAGAATAAAATAATATTTCTAATTTACTATAGTACTGAAATAGTCATTTGAACAGGCTTCAATACTTTTTGGACAGTTACAAAAGAACATTTATTTTGACCAAAAAAAAAATATTTTTTCTAGTATTTTTTTTTCTTCTTATCTGATAAACTCTCTGAATTAATGTTAGCATCTCAAGAAAAATTTGAGCAAAATATATTAGGACAATGCTGAATTGAATCTGTTAAGGGAGGTGTATATGCTTGTGTGTAGTGTTAAAATGTTGTATTATTATTATTGTTCTACTATTATTGTTAATAATAATAATGATAATAATAATAACAATAATAATAATAATAATAGTAATAACTATAACAATAATAGAAATAATATTATTCCTTTTGTTATTATTATTATCCCTATTATTATTCTAATAATTTTAATAGTTACCTGTTGAAAGATTACCCAACTAGAAAAGAGTTAGTCTATGGAACAACAATTAATAAATAACTATTATGCCATTAAAATAAAATTAATTAATATTGATTATATTAAATCTATTATATTCTCTAAAAGTTAACTAAAGTTAAATAAATTTTAAATCTAGGTTCACAAAGCTTTCAAAAGGATTTTTTCATGAGTTTTATTTTTTTTTCCTGACATTCTTTTTATTGTATATGTTTTCCTAGTCTATAAAATTTTTCATAAAAATAGTCAACTTTTTTATGAAATTTTTTTTTTTTTCTTTAAAGCAGAATTTATCCCATTTTTAACTAAAAACAAGAATAATCCTGTCTTTGTATTAACTACAAACAAAACAAAAAATCACTAAAAAACTTTCAGTAAATGTAAGTACTTAACTCGCAAAATCCAATCAAAGTTACATCAACAAGCAAAGCTACAGACCATGTTCTTTTTAATATAGGCTTAATTATCATAATTTTTGCAAAAATCATTATTTTAAATAATCATTATTTTTGCGAAAAAGAATCAATATTTTTGAGAAAAGAGATTCATTCAGAAGAGACGTGTTTTTGCAGAGTAAGAACTTAAAGAAAAAAACTGTAAAATTTTAAAATTTTTTGTATTTATTTATCTGTTAAATCAAAGTTATTATCAAAACTATCTACCTAGTTTATTTAATTGCTTCAACATCATACAACTAAACATGTTGCAGAAAGGTCCAGGAGAATCTAAAAAAGCAAATGAGATGAATTTGTTTTACTAAAGAGCGTTGCAGAACCTATATAACTATTAGAGTTGAAAATTTAGAAAAAAAAATTAAATCCTAAGGAAATAACTCTAATCAAATAAGTTTCAATAGAGAAACAAAAACAAATTAAAGTGATTTGTTTAAAACAAAACATAAATTACCTGAGCAAGTCAACATTTTTGACTATATCACAGATATTGTTTAAGATATAGAGAGAAGAGCAAAAAATGTGATAATAGTTGGTTTACCTCAACAAGAAAGTAAAAATCTAAATAGTGACTACTAAAATAAACTTTTTATTTCTGTGAAAACAAGATTAGAAGGTAGATTGTTTTAAATCTACCTTCAAATCAAGTTCAATTTCAACAGTAACCCCACCAAACCAAATCACAAGTAGCACAGTCCTAGAAGAGTTAAACGATGTCTGCAACAGAATTTGCTAATAAAATTATAAATCCAGATCTTAACAATGCAGAGAGACTTTACATGAAAATTTCACTTAAAGAAAGAAAAATAAAAAACAATGAGTTACAAGTGAATGGGAAACTTAATTTGCCCTTTTTTTAGCGCATCAGAAACAACACCTTTGTCAAAATTGACGTCTCTAAATTTACCCAATAGACATTAAATACATTAAACAATATCATTAAGCATAATAATTCTACGTATTTAAATAAAACTAATGGGATCAACATAAAAAAACATCCCTTCAATAATGTTAACTGTGCTTACTTACGCTAGATCAATTAAACACAACCTACATAATCTGCTTCAAAATCGCATTCTTGACATCCAATTAGTTTTGGATATTCTTCTTATAATCTATTGGTAAAAACATGCTTTTCATGCTAATCAACAACTACAAAAATATGTTTAACATAGAAACTATTTATACTTTATATTTACACCATTATACAAAAATAATTTGCATAATATTAAGTATAATATAGGGTAAATTAAATAAAATATTTGTTCTTTTTGATCATTCTGTATTCAACAAACTTTCTTAAAATGTTTTATGAAAGTACAAATGTTTATAAGATTTATTATTTGCAAGTATATGGATTAAAAGCAGTCATCCATCTAAAATAATGATTTAACAGAATTTTATATTGTATAATTTTAAAATTTTAAATTAAAAAGAAAACAAACAGAACAACATTTATCTATCAGTCAGTAACAATTGAAGAATACAAATTGATGTTATCAGAAGCAATAAACAAATTAACAGTTCATTTCTACATTTGCAAAATGTCAAACAAGATAGCTAAGGCAACAAAAGAAAGCAAACAAGATAGCTAAGGTAACAAAAGAAAGAAAACAAGATAGCTTTTCTGTTGTTGCTAAGGAAACAAAAGAAAAAGTTGGCAAAAGACTGCTGTACTGTTTTAAATGATTTTCCAAAAAACTGCATGTCTGCTATTCTAGATGAAAGTTACCATTGGTGTTAAAGTCAATGCACGTTACACCCTGCTACCCTCTATTTATTAAACGAAAATTACCAGCTTAAAGAAAAATCATTTTTTTATGTCAGAAGATAATGAGCATGACATTGGTTTTGTGTATGAAGTTCAGACACAAATAGTTAAATGCTTAAAAAAAAATCATCCTAATATTTCAAAGACTCTTTATTATTCAGATGATTGTGCTGCATAGTATAAAAACCACAAAAATCTTTAAGATATTTACTCCATAAAGACGATTTTGACATTGATTTATAGTGGAAATTTATGCTACAATGGTAATGTCATGGTAAGTCACCATGTGATGGTATTGGTGGCACTGTAAAACAATTAGCTGCAAATGAAAAGCCCAAAATGATCATAAATTAAATTGTAATAAAATGTTTTACTACTGTACAAATAATATTAAAGGAATTATTTTTTTCAAGATTGAAAAAGAAATACTGATAGAATTAAAAAAAAAAAATTTCAGCTAAGTAGAATAATTCGTGGAACTAGGAATAATTCCTAAGTAGAATAATTCCTAGGAGTTACAATCAATTTAACCCAGAATCTATAGATACTATAACCTTTAAACAAACAAGTGAAGATTTTAAAATAAAAGACATTTCTGGTATTCAAATTATTAAATTATAACCATTTATTTTAATCATAAAATATGACAATTTACAATAATATTTTATAAGATAATATAAATACGGTTAGGTGTCACTCATATAGTTAAAAACTAGTCAATGGAATGACACTTAAAAAAAACAAAAAAAAAAAACAAAAAAAATTAAAAAAAAAAAAACTATAAACAAAACAGAAAGAATTTAAAATAAAATAGAGGAAAAATAAAAAAAAAAAGAAAAGAAAGAAAGGAAAATAAAGCACTAATAAATAAAGATAATATTAATAAATGCAATAATAATATAATAAAAATAATGATAATATTAATAGTAATGTGGATAAAAAACATTACAAATAGTAACTATATCATGATAACTTTACTAAAAATTATAACTAATATAAAAACTATGGTAAAAATAATTATAGTAAAGTTTATAACTATGACAGAAATTATTAAAATAAACGTAACAATTGCAAAAATTAGGACAATAACCATTAAACTATTACTAAAATTGAATCACTATCACTATTATTATAAATAATATTAATAAGATGTATAAAACAAAGGTAATGATAATAGGAATATTAGTAAAATACCTCAAAGTTATTTCTTTTGTCAAGAAATAACCTCAAGGTATTTTATATATTTAGATGGGAAAAGTATTTTATCGTTAATTCTAATTTTCACATTATTACTATCAATCTTTTTTTTTGAAGGGTGAAAAATAATAAATTCAGTTTTATTGATATTTAAAAAAGATGGTTACTATTTAACCAATGACAGAAATGATGGAGATCTGAATTAACTTTTTTACAAAGCTGCATGAGTGATTTATTTATACATAAGAGATTAGTGTCGTCAGCAAAATGATGAACAATCAAATTATTTACAGAGTGAGGCAGGTCGCTAATACATATTAAAAACAGAAAAAAACAGAAAAACTAGAGCAGAACCCTGTGCAACACCATACTTAATAATTTTACTTGTGGATTGAAACCCATTAATCTAGACAAACTGAGTACGATTGTTAATATAGGATGAAAACCAATCATTAGCAATACCCCGTATACCATTGTGATACAATTTTTTAATTAAAATCTTATGGTCAACTGTATCAAATGCTTTTAGGAGAATAAAGACGCCACAAGCAAAATAACCACTATCAATTGCACCATAAATCATTTCAGTAATACTAATAAGTGCATGGGAAGTAGAGTGTTTTAAATGTAATCCATACTGGTGGCCGTAGAGACACTTAGAATTATCAAGAAAGTGGTAGATACAAGAATACATTAATTTTTTTAATAATTTTGCTGATATTTGATAATAATGATTTTTGTCTATAGTTAATGCAGTCAAGTTTCGAGTCCTTTTTATGGACTGGTTTAACAGTTGCAGTTTTTAAAATAATTGGGAATATACCATTAGCAAATGAGAGATTAAATAGTTTAGAAAGTATTGAAAATATATCATTAGCCTTACCATCATTTAGAGAAAGAATAACTGATATTATTTCATTTTTTTGAGTAGGTTTAAAGAAAAAAAAGAGTCAGAGTTTGCTTTTAAATACTTATGGAAGTCAGTATGAGATGAATAAATATTTTTTTGCAGTTCTTTAGGGATTAAAATAGAAAAAGAATTTCTAAGATTTTAACTGGATCATTTATAATGGTATTGTTTGAAGATATAAAAGATAGATATGAGATATCATTCGCATGTATATTCAAAAGAGTTCTAATACCCTTTCAGGTAGCTCTCAAACTATTGCTACTGGTAGTTAAATTCCCAGTTGATTTTCAAATTTTTTGAGAAAATAAGAAGGGCATGGCCCCAGTGCTCTGGGCCATGGACCCTCTGGTTGTTTTCTCTGGAAACATTTTTAAAACGTGTTTATCAGGATTACACAAATGCTGAAAGTTTCAGAGCTCATCTCCAATTGTCACAAGATTTCACTACAAAACCCAATTGTCACACGATTTCACTACAAAAAAGTTAAGAACTTGCCGCAGTTCTCTCTAATGTCTTGGAACCCTGAAAACAATTTTGACATGCACATTAATTGTTATAGGAATTCTTATTTTATGAAGTATTCTCAACTATATAAAAATCAGCAAAATCTGAGATGTATGGTGACATGACCTGGGTCATTTGACATGGAATAACTTTATATTCAAATGCACCTGTGACTATTGTATGATTCCTTTCAACTGTAATTTAGATTTTAAATTCAGTTAAAACCAACCAAAAAAATTGATCAAAAAGCAGACTATAACGAAATTATATTATTATTATTAATATTATTATTATTATATTATTATTACGAATAATATTATAATATTAAATTATATTTCGTTAAATGTTAAATTTCTTATTTAATGTAAATCAGTATATGCTTACTAAACAAAATCAAGAAAAGTTGAATCATTCTGGCATACTATATGTAATTATTTGAACTAATTTATTTCATTAAATGTTTCAGTACTTTGTAATAGAAAAAATAATATACAACATTTAGCCATTCATAAATAAGCCTCCAAAAAACATGTTCTCTATAGAGATTACAAAAGAACCAGTAATGCATCCAAGTCAAATACAAGGTTTGTTCTCATTTACACAATGCAGAAATAAATAATGTATTCTCAGAAAAATATAGTTAAAAAAGTTAATATTGCCCAGTTTTATTCTTTTGTAAAAGCAAAGTCCAAATGCTGTAATTCTATTGCACCGCTACTTCGACCTTATAGTTTTCTTAATACTGATGATAGGGAAAAATCACATCTTCTGAATAATTTTTTTGACTCTGTTTTTATTCAGATAATGGTATTGCACCTGCCCAAGATTTGTAGACAAACTTAAATTCTTTAAATAATGTAATATTTTTTAACAATTGTGTCTTCTCTTCAA